TTTGACCTAGTTCTGGTTCCTCAGACACTCCCTCGCATAATGTTAGGCACTACCACATATGCGGCAGGTGTTGTTGAGGCGATAGTAGGGTCAGTCCCCATGATCCCTGCCACAATGCTGACAAATCTTACCGCGTCCTGCTGTTGGAACCTGAGGGGGAGCTTGAATCATCAGTCTGGGTCTCTTGTTTTGTTGAACGGGTGCAGTAGGTGCTGGTCTATAGGGTGGAGCTGAAGGCCTGAGGTTCCCTACTGCTAGAGAGAAAGTGCGGAGGCTCCTCTCCACCACTGTGCCTTGGCCAGAACAGCTGAATAAGTACTGAGCTTAAGCACAAACAATGTTGTCTGATCTCTAGATGGAGACCCTACTCGAACCTTCTAACCTTCCTGCCTTCATCCAACATGCTCTCAGGCGAATATTGACCCAACTCTAGGAACTTACGAGTATATTCTGATATAATCATATTCTTCTAGACCAAGTGTGCAAACTTCATCTCATTCAGATGTCGGAGATGCTCTGTGAGATACTCTGCATGAAAGGTCATCAATAACTGTTCCCAAGTGACTAGGAAGGGCAGGGTGTTCTGCTTGAATTGGCACAAGCGTTTTGCTTCTCCCACTAGCATGTAGGTAGCGAAGATGACCTTTTATTCGGGAATCACCCCAAGGGTCTTGAAGGCCTTCTCTATCTCAGCTAACCAGAACTCGACCTCTTTAAAGGAGGATCCTCCTGCAAAAGTATATGGATTTAGTCTTTTATACTTTTCTATGTAGCCTGGGTCCATCATAGGAGGAGTTGGGTCCCAAGGAAGAGTGATTGAACTGTGCTGAGGATGAACCGGATGGCCCTGCGGTGGTACTTGATGATATGATGGGGGCACCGAATTGTACTGTGGTGGCGCCGGGAGGTACTGTGGCTACAGCACCAGATCAAACTGTGGTTCTTTCGGGCGGTATTGTGGAGGAGCAGAGTCATATCGGGGTGGCTCGTGGTCCTCCAGTTGCAAGGGTGGCTCAACCTGTGGCAGCAGGGGAGGATTAGGTAGATCTCTTCGTTCCTCTCGGGCCTGCTGGACAGCAATGAGTCTCTCCACCATCTCAAATAACCGGTCAACATTCTCTCTAAGCGAACCCTCCCAGGCTGCTTAGTTCAGTGGGGGTCTTCATCTCTTCATCTATCTGTACCTACATTTCACAAGTAATAGTTGAGTGACAATTCATTATTTTCGGTGTGCCGTAAGGGTTTTGTGTAAGGAATGGGTCCGAAGAACACGGCTCTGATATCAACCGTAGCAACTCCGGAAATATCCAAAAGAAATAAGTGATAATTAAAGTGCGGAAGCGAAATAAATGCTTAAGGTTTACATTCCTTACACAATAACTTAAAGTACCAAACAGTATTACAGAATTCACCCTTTTGAAAAAAATACAAGAAATAAGGAAATGAACGAAAAATAAAAAAAATTAGCATATACTCGCAATTCTCTTGCGGATTGGGCTCTGGATCCTGATACTCTTGATCTGAAATGGTTAAATAAGGGATGAACTAACTAGTGCAGTAAGGATATCACACTATATCACCAACACAAAAATAAAGGTTGGTAGAAAATCAAAAATAACTAATGGAATACTAAATTTAGCAATTTCATTTATCAATAATAAAACTATTTATCTTTCACTTACCGTAGTGGGATTTACAAAAATAATCTATAAAAATAATAACATTATATAGATCATAATTTCATGTATAATTGGCAATATAGCACATCTTATAAATCTATATCCATATTCAATAATTCAAACAACAATTGTCCACACCTTTTATCAGCATGCTGGTATCCATGTGGGTTCATAGGGATGTCTCTGCTATACGTGAACCATTTCTTTTAACATTCTCAATTTCGGGCCGTCCTCATACCACGTCTAATATGAGTGCTAATTTACTAAACCTCAATACCACGTCCGGTATAAGGATGAAGCGGATCGTCCCCATACCCCATCTGGTATGAGTGCCAAATTACCAAGTTTCGATACCCCATCCGGTATGAGGCAACGTTCACGGTAGGGTTCCCTATGTACCCGGTCCGTCCACAATCTCACAGGATATCCAATAAGGCTGTCGTTTCATTCGTTCACTTAATCACACAATTTTTCGTTTTCCTTTAACCTTCATTTTTTTCAATTCAGCCATAAACACATAAAATAAACCATACATGCATTCAAAGCCATAAAATCAATTACTCAAGTACTACCATGCATTTAAACTGTAAAAACAATCAATAAAGTAACAGTAGATAATTTTCGGTTCTGGTTCTATTAGTAATCCGTAATTAATTATGCACATTTTCTAAATTCATACAAAATATCTTATTTTTGTTTATTTAGACTTCAATTCTATGATAGGGAATAGGACGAGGGATCCTTATGCAATTTGATGCCCAAAAGCTAAGTTGTTTAATGCGCCTACAGGCGGTTCCTGGGTTCCCTGAATTTTCATTCGGGAATCAAAATGCACTATAAGTACCTATAAGTGTCTAAAACAAACCCAAAATTAGTCTCAATACCCACTTTGGCCAATTCTGGAATTCAGGAACGGTGGCTCTGTCATGCTCCGGTGACGGCACCACTACTCGCGGTGACGGTCTGCCTTAAGTCGGCTATTTTTGGCCGATTTTGGATTAATCGCTGTGAGAAAACAAATTAAGGGGTCTCGGTTTGCTAAAAAATACAAAAAACCAAAACTCACCGACGGCGAGGCACTTGGGGACTCCTCCGGCTCACATTACGGTTGGGTGTTTTGCTCGGATTAACCTATCGAGAAGGAAATTGTGATCACAACGGTAAAAAAATTACGCAGAACGGAAACTGGGAAGGGCCTCATCGGAGGTATTTTGTGAAATTCCTAGCAGCATTTACCCACGTTTTTCGGCCAGTCGGCCGGCCCTTTTGCTCTGATTTGAATATGGGTATGTTTAAAATTAAATTATGAGTAAAGAGAAAATTTTTACCTCTTTTAACGGTCGGAAAGGGCTCTAGCGCTGCCGCAGGTGGCCATGGTCTCCTTCCCGGCGGCTAAGTCTTCTTCTCCGACGAAAGGATCTGGGGGCTAGAGTTAGGGTTTGGTGCAAATTGGGTTATTTATATTTGTCCGTATTTAATCTAGGTCGTCCATCGCGTTTGATCTAGACTGTCCAATCACGATTAAATAGGGAGTGAATCTGCACCGTTCATCACGATCTAATATGGACCATTCATTGCGATCTAATATGGACTGTCTGATCGTATTTAAATCTTACCGTCCGATTGTGTTGGGGAGGGAACGTATCCGAGTTGTCCATGCGCACGGGAACGGATCTGGGCCATTCGATCACGGGCACGCGGATCACCCACGTGGCACTGCGTCAGCGTTCGCTGCCACACAGCGCATCTTGATTCATCAAGGCTGCTGATCGGGCATCCTACGTGGCAAAAATTTTCTAAATTATATTTTGACCACCGATTTTCGATTTTTCTTTCAAAAATACCTTCAGAACCCAAATTTTCACCCTTTTTCCCAAAATTATTTTCAATTTAATTCTCCATCAAATTTTCCTCCATTTTTTCTCTAAATTAAAATTAAAAAATTGAAAAATTAAGGAATATATTTATAAATAAACTTTAAATTATATTAAAAATTAATTTAGGGTATTACAAAGACAATTATAAACTAACTGGTTACTGACTCAATCGATAACCTATATTTAATTAATCAAGGGATGGCTAACCATTTATAATTTTTTCATTTTTTTATTAATTTGCCTTTAATTTTGTAACGGCTCCGAAAATTTAAAATGAAATATGTGTATTAAAAATGTTAAATGCGGAAGCGTAATAAAAATTTTGATTAACATCCCTTACACTAAAACCAAAAACGTGCTCAAGGTATAAAAGAACAAACTAACTAAAAGAGATACTCGAAAATAAGAACTATAAATATAACTACGGAGTCCTTAGGCGTCCCCTTCGCCGTCTTCCTGCGGAACGGGCTCGGGAACAACATCTTCCTGATCTGAAATGGTTAAATAAGGAGTGAGCTACACCAGCCCAGTAAAGACATCACACTATCTCACCGCCACGGAAGTAAATGTGGGTAGAAAACACAAAAGACCAATGGAGCATGATTTATAATAAACTCGTTTATTAACATAAAAACCCTTTACTGTCCACTTACCTCGGTGAGGTTCATAAACAACATATGAAAGCAATAACATTATCATCATCATGAAATCATATGAACTGTATAACAAAATACTTACCACGCCTTTGCATCTCAATCATTAAACAATACATTTTCCTCATGTATAACAAAATACTTCCCTGGCGAGCACTGGCGGCTAGGGTTTCTTTGGTCAGGTGTGGGTGGGGGTATTTATACCCTTTGCCTTTTAAGCTTGACCGTCCATCAAGATTGAATCCGGGCCGTTCGATCGCGATTTAATTGGGATTAAATCTGGATCGTTCATCGCGATGCAATCTGGGTCGTCCGTACCTGATTGAATCTGGGCCTTCCGTGCGTGTGAATCTGGGCCGTCCGTGCGCGCGAGAACGGATCTGGGCCGTCCGATCGCGCGCACGCGGATCGCCCCCATGGCCCGTCCCCTGGTCAGCTTATCCTTGCCACGCGGCGCATCCTGGTTGGCAGGGGCTGCTGACCGAGCCGCTGACGTGGCTGCTAACGTGGTGCTGACGTGACACAACTTTTCTAAATTACATTTTGACCCCCAGTTTTTGATTTTATTTTCAAAAATACCCCCAGAATCTAAATTTTCACCCATTTTTTCCAAAATCAATTTTAATTAAATCTAATTAATATTTTTACCCAATTTTATCATTATTTTTATTTTTATTTTCATTGAATTAAATAAAAACCCAAATAAATAAATAATAAAAATGAAAATAAATAAATAAAATATTTATTTTCATTTGGGTGTTACAAATTTAACCATAATAGGAGAAAATATAAGACATTCTTACTCCAGTCGATGTCTGGAATACTGTTTTTTCTACTACGCTTTTTGGAAGTTCCCGGTTCCTAGATTTTTTGGATTTTTCTGCAAAAACCAAAATGTACATTAAATAACGTGAAAATACTCGAAAAATAGCTAAAAAGGCCAAAATTCTCACTGGGGGCCGGTTTAGGATTCTGTCACGGTGTTGTTGCCATGCTCCGCCGCTGGTTCTGCCTTCTACTGCGACTCCTCCTCTTGGTCAGGCTGGTTTTGGCCAGTTCTGGGTGAAAACCTACTTAATTTGTGGTCAGAAGGCTTTTGTTGGTGGGAAAAAAAAAGAAAATCGAAACTTACGAGCGGTTCTGGCTTTCTGGTGTGGTGGCTCTACCGCTTCTTCCTCACAGTCGTAGCTTTCCTTCGGTCACCTTGCCCGAAAACATGTTAGATAGTCTAGGGCTGAGAAATAGAAGGAAATAAAAAAAGGGTTCGGGCTCATTAGAGTAGTTTTTTTGTTTTGAGTGCGGTGGCTTAGTCGAGCTCCGCCCTTTGTTTCTGACTTCCCCTCAAGTTTTCCTGCATCGAGAAGGATTTGGAGTAATTTAAAATGGAAAAACTGAGCGAACGCGAGAAAAATTTCACTTACCAACATCGATTTGGGTCTCCAGTGCGGCGATGACGGGTTCGGCTTCTCTTCCGGTGACTGATTCTCTTTTTGTCACTTTTCTTCTTTTTATCTGGTGGTCTTGGCGGCTAGGGTTTTTGGGAACCTAGGTAGAGAGGTTTAAATACCTTATCGGCTTTGATCTGGACCATCTGTGCAGGGACATGTGGAGCAACAAAGGTCGTCCGATCGCACTTAATGAAAAAACTAATCTGGACCGTCCGATTGGAGAGACGCGGGTCGTTCGATCAAGTCTATTCGGGGAATCAATCTCGATCGTTCACGTGTGCGGTAGTGGCTGTGAACCGTTCGATCAGCCTAGCACGCGGATCACCCATTTGGCTTCCCGCATGGAACTGTGCTGGCATGTCCGTCACGTGGCACACGGTGATTCATCATGTTACTGACATGGCCGTCCTACGTGGTCGCATTTTTTTATGATTTGGCCTATGTATTTTAAATTTTCTTTCAAATATATTTTCTTTTTATTTACAGTTTGGCCCTAACTTTTAAAAATTATTTCAAACGCATCCAAAATGCATATAATTCAAAAATTCTAAAAAAATTAAAATTACAATTTTTATAATTATTATTTAGAATAAATTTTGTCATCTCAAACCTAAATTTCAGGTTCGGAGTGTTATATATATTACTATGAATTATATATAAACTTATTTAAAAAATAAATATATATATATATAGGTAGGAATTACTTAAAAATATATACATATTATAAAAAAATTAAATAACTATAATACATATATTATAAAAATTTAACATTTAAAAATTTAAATATATAATTATAACATATCTAATATATATTATCATATTGTAATGATCTGAAAAATAAAATTAAGTCTGTAATTAAATTTCTAAATTTAATTAAAATAAATTCTATATTTTAATTTGAGAAGTATTGGATATTATAATATATGGTGATAACTAAGATGCATTTAATAAAAAAATTGGGGTAATTTGAAACCATAGGCAAATAAGGAATACAAAGGATTTTTATTTTTAAGGGTTGAGTAAATTAAGGATAATGGTAATAGTGTAAGGAGTGAATTTCATATTTATACCCTAGCAAGAAAAAAGAATACCTACAAGAGGCTTAATAAAGGATTACATTGACATTGGGAGATTAGTAAAGACGATGAAATAGATAAGTATCATGTTAATGATTAAATAAGAAGCAAATTAAAAACTTATGAGACTTAAAAGTAACATTTAAAAACAAATAGATAGATTAAAGATGTGAGACAAAAATTCATAAAAGATTCCATGATATAGGAATGATTTTATTAACAATGAATTTGGTTAAGGGTAAAACATGTATTAAAAAAAAGTGAAGTGAGATCTATAACAAAATTGAAGATAATTATAAAGTAAACTTAAGAATTTTATGAAAAAGGGGAAACAATTAAAGAGTATTGATAAGATGTGAAAATCTATTTAATCATGTATTAAGGAGGTTTATGTACGTGTATGACTTGAATTCGGCAGGAAGCGTGATGAACCCTATCCATGAATTGATGATATACCTCCAGATCGGACGTGGTTGGGGAAGTCTCATACTGGACGTAGATAGAAAAGTGATCAGCGTTTGTGTCCTCCTAACGAATATTACTATTGAGACACACTCAGTGAAAGTGTTAAGTGTTCTTATCTATGTGGTGGAAGGAATCTTTAGTGAATCATTGATACAGTTAAAACAATATCTTACGATGAAATTATATTATAAATGAAAGTATGTGTCAAAATGCAAGTATAAGTGCAAGTGTGAGGGTAAGTAAAATAAAATAAATTATAAGAATAATAAACAAATGAAAAGTGAATTGTAAGTAAAGAAAAATAAAAAGTAAACTATAATAAGTGAATAAGTGGAAAGAACAGTGAAAATTTTAAAAGAGACAAGTATTAATGATACAAACACTAAAACAATGATATAAGAATTGAAAACAAATCCACATTTAAACAATCATAAGAATAATAAGATTTTTCAAAAATGTAAAATCTGAAGAAGAAAATAGAAAAGAAAAACCAATAGTGCAAATAAATAGTGAAGTATTTTAAATAAATATAATTGTAATGATTTGTAAAAGAAAATTTTATTATGAAGCTTTTATAAGTCTTATAAACTAGTACTTTTTAGAAAAAAAAAAAAGCTTTATCTTCATATTGGTATAAATTTTGTTTTGGATTCCGTTAATAAAATATTATCATATTTTTACTGATTTAGTGCAACTCGTTCAAATTCACTGTGACATCCTTTCATATAAGGAAACCCAAAAATAAGTTCTAAATCCATAATGGACATGCATATGGTCCTATATGGCCTTTTAAATATGTATTTGAGAGTATTCTGTAAATAACTTTAGCTAGTTTAATAATGAAAATCTATATGTATGCCTCATGATTTTGGAAAACCTTAATACTAGTGTAATGCAAGGGATGTATAGCAATATATGATGATCGTTGCAATGTAAGTAAAATTTGGTATTAATTATCTCTGTGTTAACGTCAGTATTCAAATCGAAGTATGGAATACATTTCAAAATTAATTTTATTTTATATAGAATACTTTAAATTGATTAAATTATACCAATTCTTAGTTTTCTACATTGTTGAACTATTTTTTTTTTTAATTTTCACACTATAAATAATTTATTTAATAAATTTGTTATCTTAAATTAAGTCAAGATATAAATTTTATTTTTTGGATAAATGCAACTTGTAAACTTGGGTAGGGAAAAATCCCAACAAAATCATTTTCATATAGAAAAAAAAAAAGAAAAACAAAATAATTTTGAAGTTGGTTTTTTGTTGTTAGAAATAATTTACAAATTAAAAATATAATTATGTGTGATTTAGTTTGTTGCAGTTACAGTTCATAAATAAAAGTTATTATATGTTAATTAATTTATTGATAGTTAGAATTAATTATTTAAAATTTTAAAAATTATAATAATATCTATAAATAGGTATGTAATTGAAAGTTTCTTAAAACATCGGCAATAGAAAAACTTGTGAGCACAATTATTGAAATTGTATTCTTTAAAGGTGAAATCAAACTTGTCGTCTTCCTCGTAAAGTCATTAATTTCACCAGTGATCCTAACTAATATAGCTAACACTAGCTTATTCAAGTGATGCATATATCTACACACATATTATATATACAGCTAAAAGTCAAGCTTGTGGGACTCTTATAAATCAGAGAGCTACAAACCTTACTCATCACTTGCAATTGGAAAGACCAGACACAGAGCTCTTATAATCTCCCAAATAATGGACCACAATTCTTTTTCTTCTTCTCCTCATCCTCATGTACTCATCTTTCCATTTCCTGCGTGAGGCCATGTGAACTCCATGTTAAAGTTGGTAGAGCTTTTAGGTCTCGCCGGAGTCAAGGTCACATTTGTCAACTCCGTTTACAACCACGATCAAGTCGTCCGCCACATCGACATTGTCGATAGATTCTCTCTGTTAGAGATAGGAGGAAAAGATTAGAGAGACTAATGAGAAGACTCAAGAATTTTCTATTTGGTTTTTTGTAAAAAAACTTCAAGTGCATGCCTATTTATAGGCACTATTACAACTATTAGAATTAATTATAACCACCAACAAATATAATAAATCTAATTTATGACTCACAACTTCTACCAACCCAAAAAATATATAGAGACTCTAATTTAAGAAGTTCAACCACTAATAAATTAATTATATTTTAATTTGTAAATTAATTTTTAACACTTTCCCTTAATTTGCAAATCTCCTTTACAATCCAATATTAATGCGTAGCTTTTGAAATATTTCAAACTTGAGTGGTTTTGTGAAAATATCTGCCACTTGATCTTCAGTCTTTACGTGCTTGAGTTCCAGTTTTTTTTTAGCAATGTAGTCTCTAATAAAATGATATCTTGTGTCTATGTGTTTGCTTCGTTCATGGAATGTCGGGTACTTGGCTAGTGCTTGTGTGGACTTATTGTTAATAAAAATTTTAGTAGCTTCGTCTTATGTTAAATGAATTTTTTCAATAATCTTCTAAGTCATATAGCATGACAAGTACAAGAGGTTGCTGCTACATATTCAGACTCACAAGTTGATAATGTAACAATAGCTTACTTCTTAGAACTCCATGTAATTGCACAATTACTCATAAAGAATATAAAACCAGTTGTATTTTTTCTATTATTAATATCTCCAGTAAAATCACTATCACAAAATCCTATAAGGTTGAAGTCATTAGAAGATGAATAAAATAACCCAAAATCAATAATACCTTTAAGGTAACATAAAACTCTTTTAGCAACATTCATGTAGGAGGTGGTAGGAGCTTCCATAACATGACTTATTAGTGCAACTTCAAAAAGAATATCATGCCTTATAAATGTCAACTATCTCAAACTTCCCGTAAGACTTTTAAAGAGAGTGGGATCTACTTTTTTCCCATTATCAAACTTTGATAACTTGGTTCCATATTTTATAGGCGTGTTCACAGGATTGCAATTAAGCATTTTGAACTTCTTTAAGACTTTTCTTGCATAGCCTTCTTGAGAAATAAAAATATCATCTTCCATTTGTTTTATCTCAATGCCCAAATAATAAGACATGAGTTCAATATCAGTCATTTCAAATTCAAGTAACATGTTTTTCTTAAATTCTTCAAACAAACTTGGATTGTTGCTCATGAAGATGAGATCATCCACATATAGACACACAAATAGAATATCACCGTTAGGATGATACTTCACATAAAGAGCATATTCATGAAGCCAACGAACAAATTCATTATCTTTAAAATACTTATTTATATAGCTATTCCATTATCTTAGCACTTGCTTTAGCCCATACATAGCTTTCTTCAATGTCAACACTTTATCTTCATGTCTTTCAACCACGAAACTCAATGGTTGTTCTACATAAACCTCTTTATTAAGATAGCCATTAAGAAATGCCGATTTTACATCAAGTTGAAAAAAATTTCCACTTTATTTGAGTTGAAATAGCTAAGAACAAACAAATAGTTTTCATGCGAGCAATTGATGCAAAAACCTCATCACAATCAATCCCATGTTTTTGTTTGTATCTTTTAGCCACAAGTCTTACCTTATACCTTTTCGCATTTCCTCGAGAATCCTTTTTAGCTTTATAGACCCATTTGACACCAATAGCTTTATGTCCCTTAGGAGGAATGGATAGTTCCCATGTGTTGTTATTTTCTATGGATTTAATATCTTCCTCCATGGCTTGTCTCCATCTTGCATATTTGATGGCTTCATCAAAATTCATTGGTTCATTGTCAAGAAAAAGACAAAACAAATCATTTATATCAAAATTAGTGATCTTCTCAGTTTCATCATAAAGATCTTGAATGCTCTTCAACT